GAACTACCAGAGTTAGGGCGGGGGGATTAGGGTTTACGGTATGTAGGAACTACCAGAGTTAGGGCTGGGGGTTTAGGGTTTAGGGTATGTAGGAACTACCAGAGTTAGGGCAGGGGGTAACTCAGACTGGCACTGCGGCTGTGATTGCGCGAAGTTGGCTTGCAGCGGGATCCTGTCGTTGGGGAGAGAACCAACTAGGCATCATCGTTCTACACTCTACACCCTAAGCCCTAAACTCACTCCAAACCCTGTGCCTTTTTGGGGAGGTTCCCCGTAAAGTGTCAGGCGAAGGGTAAATGGAGCCCTTTCATAATGTAGAAGCCTAGATTTAACTTGCGACATTATCCGTGTCTAATCCGCATATTGCAAGTCACCCCATAACAGTGAGGCCTCTAAGATCCAAACCCAAAACCCGGAACCGTGTCCGTCCTACAGCCCTGCTACTGCCTCCACTCTGTAACAGCTGGATAATGTTAATAAGATAGTTAAACATGTCCCCCAGTATGACCCCTAATAGTATGACCCCTAATATAGACTGTAACAGGGTGGGGGCAGTACCCACCTAAACCTTGAACCCCAAACCCTAAGCCCTAGCAAAAGGCACCAACCAGTGGACTGAAGCAGATTTCCGATTTGAGCTGGTGACGGTCAGGCAGCGAGCAGAAGCTGGAACAGCATTTTATTATCGCTGGGTTTAGGATTTTGCTGACTGATGCTGACTCTAGCTCATATAACCCTATATAATCCCGATAAATCCCTATATAATTCCCTAAACCCTAAACCCCCTAAACCCTAAACCCCTAAATCCCTGTGATCCTACTACATTGAAAGGTTAACCTTTATGGGCCAGAGGCCCGGCAGCTAGGTCAGAGACGCAGACCTCCACGGAATGATTTACAATGCAGCTTAGGGTCCAGGGTTTAGGGTTCAGGGTTTTAGGGTTTAGGGTTTTAGGGTTTAGGGTTCAGAAGTGGGTCTTGGATTGCAAGGCAGGTGCTTCATGTCCTTCATCTTCCAGAATGGGCCCTCTAAGTTTCAATGACCAGAACGTTTGAAAGACACAGCCTGATGAAGGGCACAGGCCCTAGACCCTACCCGGGTGAAGCCGCTGAAGAAAGTTAGTCGTATCATACTACGTAATGTTAAACACCCCCGCCTCCCGCCCCCAATAATGAACATTCCACATAAGAGACCTTAATTATTGGGGAACATATTCAATGTAAGGGATGAATACGGGTTGCGGTGGTTTAGCCGAGTTGCCAACATGGAGGTAAATGCCCGGGTGTGCTTGTGATAGGAACTGCTTCATTTCCTCAACGCCCATCCAGCAAATCGCTTGAGCACCTGTTGCCTTTGTACCATGGTGAGCTTAGAAGGAGCTTCTCTTAGCGTCATCCTGCTTTGTGGTTATTCTTTGAAGAGCTTATTTCGACGGAAAGCCTTCTTCACATGCGGCGCGTTTTACAAGATCCTGTCCTCTCTCATCGTGGACCTCCCTACCCCGAAATACCGGCATGGTACCATGATATGAAATAATGGTGTGAATATGCATGATGTCTCGGTGGGCGGGGGGAGGGGATTTTATGGACCCCCACTCCCTCTCACCTGGACGAAACAATCGCCACCTGAGGAAACTATTGCGCCTTGGTGGCATCAGAAATGTCCAGCACGGTTCATACTACGTTTAGTAGCATCGGGTCCGCATGGTTCCTCAGTTCCTCCTGGGTGACTTTGCTTCAGTACAGTGAGCACTCGTTTTGAGCGGTGGGCTTTTCAGGTTGCAAAGAGGGTTGGGAGACAACAAAGATCCAAATGACACCTTGGTCTGAACAAACAAGCTGATATATGTTTCCTAAAGCATTAGTTCAGCGTCGTACTAGCACCAGGTATTCAAACAGAGCGAATGATTTGGATAGCAGCAGGAGTGAAGCATGTTTACCCTGTTGTGCAGTACACTGCAGACTCCGAATCTCTAATCCTTAAAACTTTGTACTTGGAGTTGAGCTTGTTCAAGCCACGTGACGTAGCCCTGTATGGGAGTTTCCAAGACGAGCGGTCCCCTTTTGGGTGCCCCTCTACAAAAGCAGGAGAGTATTGGGGGGTATGTAGGGCGCGACCCTCTATTTCTAGAATCGCAAGTGAAGTCGGCGATATGGGCATTTGCTTTCGCTCGTGCTTGATAGACAAAATGCTGATTGTTTCTAAGTATCTCATACAAGCAACTTCACAATCTGTAGGTGTAAAGGGCCACACAGGCCCCACAGGATTTCATCCCTAAACCCTAAACCCCTAAACCCCTTAAACCCTAAACCCCTCAACCCCTAAACCCCGAAAC